GGGCGGGGCCATCTGCTGCGACCAGTTGGGGTGAGAGAAGGAAGAGGATGGGGTAAATCTTAAGTGCTCATTTTGTGGCGACCTGTAAACCAGCGGTCTCCAACCTTTTTTGCTCTTTTGTTCATGCCCTTTAAAGAATATTCTTCCTTTACGTACTTGCACCTTAGTAGCCATCTTGGTTAATTGCCCCACTTTAAGTTAATGTTGAAGCTTTGTTTGCTTTTGTAAACATAAGATAAAAATTTGTTCATCCAGGTGACTTAGTTTTACTTTCATTTATGTTTTTTTGCACGAAAGAACTTTGAGTTTAAAAAAAAAAAGGCCCAAGATAAAAATAAAGAAGGATTATTATGGACTGTGAATCATACAAAGCTACTCTGAGAGGTAAATGCTCCTGTCACATTCCAAGCCTAATGTTAGTTAATATTACCTAATTCAATGATGTCGAGTTCAAAAGTACCAATAAAAATATTTACTTGTGCACATTTTTGCCACAAATCATAAAACTGTATGTGCTCATATTTATTTTAGCCTCTCTGACACAGTTTGCATATTTTCATTGGACTACCAAACGAGGACGAGGTTAGGACAACACAATCAGAAGATTTCACTCAAAGGCCAATTTGTACAAACCAAGGTTAATTTACTTAACTAAAACTAAAGAAATAAATCTAGATGTGAAACTAGTTTACCCTGTAGAGAAACATCATGACACTGGACACTTACACACTTTGTGCGAGACTGATTATTTTTTGAATCTCAAACACAAATTGTATTGAAAAGATGGTTGTAACCATTAGCAAACATTTTTTTAAACCAGGCCTCATGATGAGTACATCTTAAAATAGAAGATTATCTGAAAACAAAACATGATACTGTGGAGCGAAAAGATCGGAATAACAAAATACAAAGATGGTCAAACTCTTAAAAATGTCCATTTTAGGCTGTTTTGATGAATATCTGCAGGTTTTCTGAGTCCCTGTCTCTTTTTTTCGATAGTGTAAATTTTTTATTTGGACCAAAACTTTACGTTTCTTCAGCTCTCTCCTCACATAAATAATCCTGTTCAGGAGAAACTCTCCCAGCAACCCTTCTGATAAAGGATTAACAACATTAATTCACAGACTGTAGCTCTGACAATGTGAAATACTAAAAACTGAATGTTAATGATTAGATTTTTTTCTGTAGAGCCCTCTCCATGTTTGTATTCTTATTTTCTTCACATGTTTTACTTTGAAGTTTTGCTCATAGGAAATGATTCATTCCTGTTTGGTGGTAAGTTATGACCAAACCGTGGATCTGTGATTGAAATATTTAGTGCTGTTGAATTATAGCATTGTGGTGATTAAATGACTATTTTCTTCCAAAATAATCATAAAAAATAAATGTGTGATTGACTTCCTTTCAGTGCTGCTTGAAATGTGTGTCGTTAGATTAGATGTGTGTGGAGTAATTCCTTCGTGAGTCTTTCAGCTCTTATGCAGCTGCCTGTGTGTTTTGGTTTAATGGTGTGACCCTGAAAACGTCCTGTTTCCGTCCACAGGCCAAGTCTGTCATCAACCTGCTGTTTTCCGCCTACACTGGGGACGTATCAGCCCTGAGGAGGTGAGCAGCTCACACAGCTTTTAATAAGAGATCAGTTTAGATTTAGTCACGTCTCGCCCCCCAGTGGAGCTTTTTAATAACATCTACATGAAAGAAAGACTCCTCTGGCTGCACGAGGAAGCACCTTGGTGACCTAAAGTGGCAGAAAAATGAACTTACAGGTGTCCCTGTGGAGTTTTTACATCTGACCTCATGAAAGTCTCGTGAAACGTTTGCACTATTTTCAAAAATAGTTTAAAGTGTGGCTCTGCATCCATGTATGCAGCCTTCTTCACCTGTTAACGATCAATTTTGAGTTAAGGACTTAAAATATTTTTCATCATTTTTTGAATCTACAAGAGTCTGCAAACAAACATGGAAGTCGTTTTATGGGCTCGGTCTGGTTGTTAGACTTTTGTTTGGAAAGTCGTGTTTTCAGGCTGTTACAAAGAAGTAATTTTAACCTGATTTCAACAATGAATTCACTTTTACCTGTTGAGTAATTTTATGCTGGTTAGAGGTGTGTAAATGGGGAAAGAAGCACTGTGAGGGCGACTAAGATTTCACCATGGAGATTAAGCCTCACTTATCATTTTAATGTAGCTGTAAAACCTTCTGTAAACCTCTGTGATGCTTCAGCGTTTGTTTGCTTTGGGGACTCAAAGGATCTAAAAATGATGAATGTCAGAGTGACCACGCCCCTCAGTTTAACCCTTAAAAAACATTATAAGCTATTAAAATATTTCCCCCCCTGTAAACTTGATATGAAGGTGTTTTGTATCTGCTGTAAAGTTGCACCTTTTAACATTGGAGTCTGTGGGGGCTGACTCAGTGCTGGAGCCTCTAGTGGCCACTAGAGGAACTGCGGTTTGTGGCTCTAGCCCTGCTTGGTTATTTGAAACTTCTGGAAGAAACAGAAAACAAAAAACTGCTCCAAAACTGGACAGGAAGTCATAAAACAGAAGGAAATCCTGTATCTCAGATCAGCTCTCCATATAAAATGTATTATTGCTGCTTTCTGAAGGTAATTTCCTAGGAAAAGATGTTTCAGGCTGTAACACCAGGATGTTCTTTAACCTCCAGCCTGAGACTCTGAACTGTGCAGCAGTTAG